CAGGGTTGAAGCTGAAGCAGATGAAGTTAAAATTCTCTTTAAGGGTGATTTCCAATTTAATGGCGCCGGGGCCGTATTATGGGCTGGTTCTCACACGGCTGAGTCTACCATTTGAGGGCGGAGGTAGATGGCCTAAAGAGCTGAAGTCTCGACTCCAAACACTCTTCGACACCCGGCTGCAGGAGGCTTACACAAGCAAAAGCACTGAGACGGGAGTATACAAGGTCTACAAGTGTTGTATTGAAAAATTAAGGAAAAAGTGAGGAAAAATTAAGCTGTGATTACAGCTTAATTTACCAAATGTGCGGGAAAGAAGTCCCGTCTTCAACACACTGTCGGCTTACTCGCCGATTTATTTGGATACGGGCATCCTTAGCATACGTAGAACGATGCATCAATAGCCCCAGACTTAAGAGAGTCGCGTTGAGAGTTAGACCAGTTTTTGCTAAGTGGAAGGGGGAGGGGGTATGAGAGCATCACGAGTTGTAGTGTTACAGTCAGCGAGTGTAACACTTATCGGGGATAGGCCGGACCGCAAAAGAACCTTGGGGAGCTGTTATCCGGGTGAGAGCTGTTATCCGGGTGAGAGCTGTTATCCAAGGCCTCAGAAAAAAAAGCCAATCGCAAGGCAAGAGCGTAACCTCCGTGAACCCGAAACCCGACTCAGGTCGCCCTTCGGGCGACCATCACCCAAAACCCGAAGAGTGGACAGTGTGAGAGCTGAGGGGTTTCCTTAGGGGAAAAACGGAACTCCCTTGGACATTGCCGAACTCCCCTTAGAAAAACGCAGAGGGCGAGCGAAAAGTATTCCTTAGAATTCTTACACTCTCCTTAGAAAAATGATATAGATCCACGAACTCTGTGTCACAGAGGCCTTAAGAGTGAACTGAAAACAACAGGGTAGCTAAAATCACAACCGATCATTATGCGAGCGAAATTGAAGATCGGGCACGCACAAAGAAGACAAGAAAGATATTGAATCTTAATGAGAGCGAGAACACGAGTCACAAGGGGAACGGTCATCAAGATAATTACCAGGTGTGAATCCTTGACTAAAGGTAAAACTAGCTTGCAAGTCCATTAAAAAAACCAAAGGATTGCGGGTGAAAACGGAGAACGGGAAACCCGAAACCCCACCCGAAACCCGACAGGGCAACCCGAAACCCGAACTCTCATCCAAGTGAAGGCTGTTATCCAAGGGCGAACTGATCCCAAGGAAACCAGAAACCCGAACTGTTATCCGAGTGAAGACTGTCATCCAAGTGCGAACTGATCCCAAGGAAACCAGAAACCCGAACTGTTATCCAAGTGAAGACTGTCATCCAAGGGCGAACTGATCCCAGGGAGACTCGCTTAGGGAGTCCATTAACAACGATACAAGCCCAAACTGATCGTAGGGCAACCTGCGCTGTTCATGCAGTTTTCATGCAGTCTGACTGACACTTCAGACATTTACTGATAGTTATCCCAGCACCAAACTAACACGTTCTTAGCGCACGCCAATCTGATCGATCGGGCATCATGCACTGTCAGTTTGGGTCACCACTGTCCTCCAAGATGTGGTGGAAGGGAGATTTTCCTGGCTGCCCCGCCAGTAGTTCTCGAAGTAATATAGACTTGGAGAATGAGATGAGGAGTTTGGAGAGGTATATGGAGGAAGCTGTACATTCGATGGGCTTCACTACCTTCAACGCAGCTAGGGACATTAGGATACCTGGGTAGTAATGGGCTCTCAAACTTACAATGACCTTGATCAATAGTATGCCTATGTAGATGCATCCGGTTCAAGCCGTTCCCGCTAGGGTCCAAGAGGCGGAAATCATTGGAGACCAAGTCCTACTCGAAACGGGACAAAGTCTGTCCATCAAATCGGTCCCCGACAGCAGTGGATAGCCGAGTAACTCGACGGGAATGTCAAATGTACTTATGCTGTCTCAGGCGAGCACCTCGGCCTCGTTCACCAGATCGAGGCTCATATCGCGCTCCGCTTCTACACCTTCCCTTGTGCCTTCGACTGGCATTGACAGGTGAGTGCTGAACTGGCATGAGCTCAGCTTATTCCCATCGGGCCGCTTCAGACCTGGCTTCCGGCTGAGCTACGGTGATGCCTCATTGGTAAGGGGGATCTTACTCCACAGCGGTCTTGTACCTAGGGAGCATGGACCTGACTGGGTCCTTTCGTGGACAGGAAGTCTCCCTAAGGAACAAAGCTTTCAACACTTACAGGTAATGCATAGACAGATTATCATTGGCGATAATCGGTAGCCTTGGTGCGTCTTCCGATGTCACATCCTTGAATGTAGCTGGCCCTTGTTCAGGAATGGCAGCGAATCAACCATTTCCCGAGTTCCCACGAGCTAACACGGAAGGATCGTCTGTGGGCGCACTATGCAGCCATGCGGGAACTCTTCGGTGCTGAAGAGTTCGACTATCTTCCTGAGACCTTTGTTCTCCCGGATGAAAAGAAATCCTTTCTGGAGGTACTGATAGGATCCGTCTTACTCTCACTGAACATCCCCCCTACACATAGGCCCATGAGAAT